TAGCCTATATCCAGCTTAGGCTGTTTTCCCTAAATTTGTATATATACTGTTTGAATGACAGCTTGGTAAATCTGTTGGCAATCAAATATTCAATATCGCTACTCATAAGTACTTGGCACATTATCAGCGCAGCGGCAGACGTTCAAACTAATATCACGTAATGTAGTCTCTATGTATGGCAAGCCGTTTTGACTTTTATTCATTCTCAGGATATGAATTCTTTATATCAACAATTCAATTTTTACTAGTTAAAATGTTAATTCTTGATATCAGGAATTAGATTTCCACTAGTAACAATGTTAATTCTTGATATCAACAATTAAATTTTCACTAGTTAAAATGCTAATTATTGATATCAGGAATTAAATTTCAACTAGTAAAAACTATAATTCTTGATATCTGTAATTGTATTTTTACTAGTTAAATGTTACCATAGACTACCATTCAAATTTAATTGTTGATATCAAGAATTGATTTCTTCAGAAATACAATTCTTACTAGTAAAAACCTTTATTTTTGATATCAGTAATCATATGGTTACTAGTACAGACGTCTATTCTTGATATCAACAATTTAATTGCCACTAGTGACAATGTTAATTTCTCATATCATGAATGTGATTGTTGCTAGTAAGAAACCAATTTTAGATATCAGAAATTATATTGATATCAGAAATGCATTTTCAGATATCAGAAATAACAAATGTAACATGTTGAAATACATTTACTTATATCAAGAATTAACATTTCAACTAGTAACAACTGAATTCTTGATATCAAGAATTCACATTTTTACTAGTAACAAAGTAATTATTGATATCAACAAAGGCAGTTGATATCTGAAATTGCACTTGCAACTAGTGAAAATAGAATTACTAATATCTTAAATAACATTTTAACTAGTAAAAATACTTTTACAGATATCTAGAAATGTCATTTTCACAGGTAAGAATGTAATTAAGGTAATGAGATCATGAATATTAATGAGATCTGATTTTCCCACAATCCTTTTTTAGTGTCAGCATTGGCCAAAGATGGTGGAAGAACATCCATGCACAGAACGTTTGAACGTTTTACTGGACTTTTTAAAAAATAAATATCGTTGTATTTAGGCTACATGAATGAGTCGTCATATTGCGTGCCCAAATTCGTGCCGGCGTTTCTCTTTTTTTTAAGGCAGGTGCATTTTTTTTTTTTTGTACTGTACATTTTGATGTATTATTATACCAACACATTTGTTGATTTTCTTGACCATTGGGACCAAACGTGATACACACTGTAATGTCCTAATAGGCATTATTTTTATATCCAGTTCTTGAAGTATCGGTGGACAAAATGAATGATAAAGTCTATTGAACCTCTTTCTCATGTCTGTCTCAGTCATTTCAATGTTATGTTAAATATGGCACTGCACTGATACACTCGTTTGAAAGTTAAGACATGAATAACAGTCTCTCAATTGTAGTGGGTTCGGAGAATGGACAACGATTTAATAAGAATTGTGTAATCTTGCCCATCTGGTTCACTGCTTATTATTATTATTAGGCTATTTTATTAGGCTATATTGTTGTTGTTGTTTTACTTTGTAACTATAAATGAGTTTACTTAAGAACTAACAACAATTGTATCCTTAAATAATTAGTAAATCTTTTTTTCTGTTTTGGAAACGTGCGTGTCTACTATCCCTTTCAACATTGAGTGTTGTTTTGGCAAAACAACACAAAATAAAACGGAATAGAGACTATATGTTATCTCAAAAGAGATACATAAAATGGTGTCTTCATTTTAAATGTAGGGGTGGTTCTAGGGTTTCATCCTCAGGGGGGCTTAGCCCTCAGAGAGACCATTAGATATAAAGATACAAATTTCCTAAATAAACAGTACTTTACAATGCTTATGAAAACTGTATTACTGTATGAAATAAACATACACAATTACCAATTAAAGTTACATAAGTTACTTAGTTAAGAGCAGTGAGTGCTTCTCTATTTTTCCTTTGTTGTTTTATTAACAATATTAGCGTAATATAAGAAATGCATGGATCCGTAATACTGACACACGTTAATATTTTTTTAACTGTTAAGACGTAACTGACTGTGTTTACTTGGATACTCGTCAAGACAGTTATTGTGACATACTATTGTGTATATTTTAATATTGTGTGCGCACAGTAACGATATCACAGCGCGTGAATACCACATTTAGATCTCACTCATGCCATCTTGCCCTTAAAAGCGAGAATGATAAACTTTCATGAGGACGCAGCACTGGTCTGATCGTTCAGATAGCTGATTATAGTTTTAGGGGGCTGAGACAACAAACAGGGAGGCTGAAGCCCACCTAAAATGGTCTAGAACCACCCCTGTATAGTACAGCACTATATATTTAATCATGTCTGGAAACTTGACAAGTGTGTTTTATTGGGGTAAATGATCTATGAGCATTTCACATATTTCTATGCACACTAATAATATGAAACTACTGTCGCTACACTACGGTTATACACATTTATTGCATTTATTTTCAATAAAACTGAAAAAGGCTTAGAAGATTCCTTATCCTGTGGCTCACTCTAGTGGATAAAATTAATATCACAGCCTTCATCTTCCAGTTGAAATGGCTGATAGTTTAGATTTTGATTTTGGCAGGGGCTATTTGAATACAATAATTTCTGTTTACACTAAGTGAAAATAGCATATTTTCTTAGCAATATATTCTATTTACACTATTTAATAATAGGAGTATTTTCTTGCAGTAATAATAGTTTGATGCTGTTCGTACTACTTAGTGGAAATAGTGGCTGATATATGCACCTCATTATTGTTGTAGGCTACATTATAAAACAGTATACAATAATAACGTATTGAATGTAAATTATAAATTTTTATTAAAATTATTAAATGGATGCAGCCCCTACAACTAGCCCTAACCTTAACCAATATCCACACGTTATTTTCCACTTTTCGATAATTTCCTTCATTTGTATTGAAAATATATGCCTTTCCGATGTGATACGGGATGTGAAAAAGGAGAAGAATGAGTTCGGCAGAAGGCGGAATCGAACTCAGGTCCATCGTGTCAAAAAACAGCTGTTTTGAGCTTTACCACCTGTGCCACTGAAGCAGACAATTGAGAGATGTTTTTTGCACTAGGTTAGGGTTAGGCTTGGTAGGCGGAGTTAGTTTAAGTAGCCTCTGCCAAAATGAAAACAAAATAATGATTAAAAATAGCCAACAGGAGCGTTTTATTTTTATGAGAGGGCAATCGAATGTGCCGTTCGCTTTTGGGCTCTGTACCTTGTCGTCTATCCGCCATAAACATTCATTAAGGGCGGCACTCTTCATTAAATTATGCACATATCCAAAAAGGAATTCATTACTATGCACATGTCCAAAAAGGAATTCATGATATCAGAAATAAAATTCTTTAAAAATGTAATTTTAACATGTAAGAATTAAGTTGCAGATATCAAGAATTAATTCCTGATATCAAGAATGAAATTCCTGATATCAACAATTTAATTGTTGATATTAACAATTCATATGTTTAAATGTTAAAAGGGCGACAAAACTATTACACATATCAAAAATGCATTTCTTACTAGTTACAATTCTAAATGCACATATCAGCTTTTTATTTCTTACTAGTAGAAATATAATTCTTGATTTCAATAATTACATTTTTACTAGTACAAATGTGAATTGTTGATATCAAGAATTCATTGTCACTAGTTGAAATGTTAATTCTTGATATCAACAGTTGAATTGTCACTAGTGACAATTTAAATTTCGGATATCATGAATGTGATTGTTACTAGTAAGAAAGCCATTTTAGATATCAGAAATGAACATTGTCACTAGTGACAATTTAAATTTCGGATATCATGAATGTGATTGTTACTAGTAAGAAAGCCATTTTAGATATCAGAAATGAACATTGTCACTAGTGACAATTAAATGGTTGATATCAAGAATTCATTGTCACTAGTTGAAATGTTAATTCTTGATATCAACAGTTGAATTGTCACTAGTGACAATGTTCATTTCTGATATCTGAAAATTTATTTCAGATATCGACAATTGGGAGGGTCATTTCTGATATCTAAAATGGCTTTCTTACTAGTAACAATCACATTCATGATATCAGAAATGAACATTGTCACTAGTGACGATTAAATTGTTGATATCAAGAATAGACGTCTGTACTAGTAACCATGTGATTACTGATATCAAAAATAAAGGTTTTTACAAGTAAGAACTGTATTTCTGATATGTGAAATTGGAATTTCAACTAGTAAGAAATTAATTATTGATATCAACAATTGATTTTGAATGGCAGCCTATGGTGACATTTAACTAGTGAAAATTTAATTGCAGATATCAAAAATAGCAATTGTAACAAGTTGAAATGTAATTCCTGATATCAAGAATTAACATTTTAACTAGTAAAAATGGAATTGTTGATATCAAGAATTCATATCCTGAGAATGAATAAAAGTCAAAACGGCTTGCCATATAGCCCGTCACGTGGGAGCCTCCTCGCGCTCACTTTAGGTGACGTAATGTCGCTAAACAGCAACAGCGTAAGTGATACATTTTATTCAATTACCGATGACTCATTATTCAGTATATTTAATTATTACCCTTTACAGATCTTTTGAAACAATAAAATAACTACAGTATAGCATTGTTAAAAATACCACATTATCAACATTTGTGAGAACTGTCAGCTGAAATATATGATTTTTTTGCTCTTGTGTAGCTTGTTCTTAGGCGCTTACGACTGAAAATAAATAAATTAAATAAATATAACCAGAATATATTTAGTCTAGCCGAGTGAAATTCACTGGAAGAGTAGCCTACAATAAAGAAGTATTCAGACATTTCCTCTAGGAAGGTGTGTACGTTGTTATGCTGCAGACTTTCTTTCCCTTGCCAAAAATTAAACAATGAGGATGATTATGGTGTGACGCAATACGCTCCGCAGCTGGTGCCCCTCCCTCACAGCGGCGGCGGCGGCAGCGCTCGAGCGCAGGAGGAAAGTCTCACGCCTCTCCTAGTCTGTGTAACCGACCACATACACTCTTCATTACAGGAAGAAAGAAGCGCCAAACTCTGGAATTGGAGCCTTTTCCTCGTTTTTAAGCGAAGTAGGATACGTACAGTAAGACTTTGCCAGTGTAGCAGGATCAAACCCACGGACAGCCAGAGTGCGATCACCTGAGGTGAGACATTCTGCACATATTTCACAGAGTTCAAGCGGATGATCTCAGGCAGCTGTAATAGCGGTAAAACAGTCCTTCACTTTTAGCAAGCCACTTTATCGCGCTTGAGAGCTTTTAATCATAAAACCACGAAGACCTATTTATTGGTTTCCTATCTCTTTACTCACCTTTTGTAATTTAGTGAGCTGTTTTGTGCGTGCTTATCCAAACAGTCTTGAGTGTTCACTGGATAATGCTCTTCCAGATTAATGTTACACTGTCACGATTCATGTTGTGGTTTTACTTAGTAGCTGAATATCAGTGGCAGTATTATTCATTATCATGGGGTTTCCCCCTTTGTGTCCTGAGCAATGTCAGTGTTTCCGTGGCCATTATAGCGATGTCCAAATCGTGAACGAATTGTTCTGTTGAGTTGGAACTTTTAATGAAGCTTTTGAACCGGTTTACATATCTGTCCGAGCAGTTCACGAGTCAACTACTCACTGAACTGACTCATTAAACTGAGAATCATCTCTTTTGGATGTGTCCGATCACAGTGAACAGAAGGGCTGAGACCATACTTGGCCACATGTCACTTCACTTTACTGAAGTGAATGCGGGGAGACTTGCCTTGTCTCCCCGCATATTCACGTCCGACCTGTTTTTATGTCATATTATCTTATATCATGTTTGGTTCAGCAGCAACTCCAGGTGGCTCTAACAGATGGTGTAGAAAGCATTGCATTGTGGGGCCTGTAGTGTTTTATTTGCAGTTTATTTGCTATTTATTTTTTTTATGCATTTACTCATTCATTAGGTCACTTGTGTTCTGACTCATCATCGCAGCATTGTGGCAAAACAGGTTTTAGATTTCACAATATTGCTCAGAATAAAATGCCAGGAAATGCTAAACATGGGTGTTGCTGCCGTTAACATGTTTGCGCAGGCACACAATCAAAACATTGTTGCACTTTGTTAATTTAACCTAGCATTTCAGTACATCCGAACTGAGGATATGGAAAGCAAGAGGGAAGCAGTCATGCATGTTATTGCCTTGTACAAGAAAGGTGACTTGTCTCGTCAGAGAGCGTAAGCCAGGGAATCAAAAGCAAATATAGTTAGAGCAGAGTAATTCACTTGAAGACGGTGTCGTATTACTGCCTGATATGTTTAATGCGTGCCAGAAAAATTTGCCTGCTTTATTTTCCATTAAGTGACTCAGGAATGACTTCTGCATCCCTTAAGAAAGTAAAACTATTCCTGTGTTCTTCTTCTTCACTGTTTGTTTAAATCAAATTTGTCTATCTTCCCACACAGAGGCCATTCCTCTCTTATACTCCATCACTCCATCAAGAAGAGAAATGATGCTCACAATCATATGAAATGATGTAAGTATCTCTAATTAGATTTTATTAGGGCTTGGATTTTAGCATGGCTTCATTTTACTGTTGCTTTCAAAGTGATTAATGAATTGTTAATGAGATGTAATTTGTATTTCTGTGAGTAATTTGGTCATTTTGTTGTGGAATATGTACAACTAGCCAAGTAATATTGCACAAACATTGCACAGTATTGCACAATATTGCCCTTTTCTTGAAATCTTGATGTTAAAAAAAGACAAAAGTCCTTTAAGAGATGAGTTTGATGACACATTCTTTTGACTTCCTTTTCTTAACGTTTTCCAAACTATGTAGCTTGATGGGTAGAGGCATGCCGTGTGGTTTTAAGCAATCTTACTTAAACTTTTCTACTGAAAATAGACTTTGGGATGCACCATATATCGTTACCATATTGCTTATTGACTAATATTACAGATTTTTACATTTATCAGTATCAGATGATATTGGATATTTATCGTCTGATATTGGATGTTTAATTGTGTGTGTTAATTTACCTTAAAAAACGAATAGTTCCAGTCCTCGATTCTGATTGGTTGAGCCAAGTTCGAAGCTGTTGTAAATTACTCTACAAACATTATTCTCCCGGCATCCTTCCACCTCCCCATCTCCTCCTCTATTTCTGTTATTCTCCCTCTATGTAGTACTGCAGTGGGGATTTAAACTTGGAGGTTAAGCGGAGCATTGGGTTCGAGTTTCCATTGAGGACAGCAAACCAAGTTCGTTTACCATTAACCATCAGGACTAGATGGGCAGGCAAACTCGTGAACCACATTTAGAGGGGTAGTTCACCCAAAAATGAAAACCGTCATAATTTACTCACCCTTAAGTTGTTCTAAACCGGCATGACTTTCTATCTTTTGTTTAAAAAAGATGTTTTAAAGAATGTGGGTAAGCAAACAGTTATTGGTCCCCAGTGACTTTTATAGTGTTGAAAAAATACTATGGAAGTCAATGGGGACCAGAAGCTTTTTAGTAGAGTACATAAACACATAAAAAAATAAAGCATATAAAATTACTAAAACGCAAACAAAAATGAAAATGCCTTGTTGGCAGAGGCTATTTACACTAACTCAACTTGTGATTGGGATAGTCAACACTTACAAAAGACGGCTGTCAATCTCCAGTGGCGTAGATGGTAAAGCACGTTCTACAGTCTTTTTGGCAGGATCAACCCGAGTTCGAACCCACCTTTTGCTAAATTTTTCCTCGCTTTAAAATCTCATATCACATCGGAAAGGCATTTATTTTCAATAAAAATTAAGGAAATAATTAAAAAGTTTAAAATAGGTTAGGTGTAGGGAGGGCTTTATTGTCCCAGTATGGTGGCAACCATTTAATAATTTTAAATAAAATAAAATGTTAAATAAATTTTATTATTGCATATTGTGTTATAATGTACTACGATACTGAGGTGCAGATAATTGCCACTATTTGCATTAAGTAGTATAAATAGCAGAAAATCCTGCTATTTTAACGTAGTGTAAATAGAATCTATAGCTATTTGTTCATAGTGTAAATAGCATATCGCTAAAAAATACTGCTATGTTCACTTAGTGTAAATAGAATCCATTGCTATGTTCACTTAGTGTAAATAGCATCTAATTGCTCTTTGCACTTAGTGTAAATGGCCTCTATCGCTATTTACACTTAGTCAGATAGCCACTGCCTTAATAAAAAGTATTCGTATGTAAATCATACTAATCAATAGCAACAAGCTAGCATTGTGATGCTGATATTATTTAGGCTCCATTCAGAATTTAATAAGAACATTTAAAAATCTAGTTAATTTAGCTCAAAGCATTTAAAAAACAAAACAACAACATCAACATCAACAGAAGTGCTTTTGACTCAGGCAGCACTGGAATGGGACTTTGTCATATAATGAGTAAACTAAACGCTGTCATGCTGTTTGAGCTTGAAGATTTGACTTTTCCATTGTGGAAGAAGATAGTGAGTCATATCCATACTGAACCATTTTACAGATGTCCTCTCTTTCCCGCAGGTCTCTGTTTATCATGCTTGCTCTTCTTGTGAATTTCATTACCATTTCACAAGGTGAGTTGTTGATGCATTTAGCAAAAATTACACTTACTGTTTTCATGCAAATTCTATATCTAGCGTCTTTTCATTGTTTTCCATTTCCTAATTGCTGTCGAAGCAAAGACCTACATAGCATCCTGGATACCCACCAGCTGTCAGCAGTCCCTCTGCCCACCTCAGAGATGGATTATTGTGGGTTATGGTTGAGCGCACAGAGTGCAGGAGGCTGATGAATGGACAGAGAGATAGAAGAAGACAGAGAGGTAGTGAGAGAGAGAGAGGTAGATTGAAAGTAAGGGGTGTAGGAGGGAGGTGATTACACCCACATCATGAATCAGACTATAAACTTTTAACGGTCGCCTAGGGGCCTCACATATAGACAGATGTACAGATGAGAAAGGGCGTAGGCCTTCAGGGTAACAGTGCAGTTGGTAACTGAATATGATATGTGTTGTCGCTTTGAATAATGTTAAATTAAAATGGATATTATTGTAATTATTTAAATGAATAGGGATGGACAATATATCAGTGCCACATCGATTATCAGATGATATTGGTAATTAAAAAAAAATTATTAGTATTGATCAGTGTTTATATAACATAAACTGTGAATATGCATTTTCCCATTTACATTTAGATTACTTTTTCCATCATCTAACACTTTAACACAATAACTTAGTTACTCTTTAAAAATAATTTCATAACATTGCTATAATCTTTAGAAAATCTCAAAATTAATATCTATATTTCATATTGAACCATAAGATATATTGTTGTGATGCCTAAATTGAAAATTATTGAAATTATTGAACTCTTTTATATATATTTTTTAGTTAATTTATTTAGGAAAATAGTAATATCAGCCATTTATCACAAACATAATTTGGCCAGAAATGTATAAATTTTGATGCCAAAATATTTATCCTAGCATAATATGCAGGGACAACTGTGAGCATGCCATTTGATATAAAATGTAAGTACTGTGTCACTATTGCTCTGTTGGATCATCCTGGCCAGCCAGACACAGTAACACAATTATTGGCATTTATTTGGGGGCGGGGTCATCTGTCTTACAACCAATGGAAGTTGGGGGAGTGTTTGGGGAAACTTGTTTCAAAATAGTCGTTATTTTTGCAATTCCATGTGGTAAATCTAGTGGTGCGGAAAGTTAACACACTACATTTAATAAATTAATTGTGCTCTTTATTTAAAATGAAATTGAAATGTTAAGATTTTCTTGAGTAACACGCTTTTTTAAACTCAGAAGTACTAAATCTTTGTTTGGAAATATACTGTATGATGGCTTGCTTATATTGCAATCCTACACAATCGTCCTTGAGTAGATTTCAGATGAATCAGAATCAGAATCAGAATGAGTTTTTATTGCCAGGTATGTTTACACATACGAGGAATTTGTTTTCATGACAGAAGCTCCACAGTGTAACAGAATGACAGTGACAGAACAAAAACACAGATAATAAAAAATAGAACAAGTAACTAAGGAATAAAAATATACAAATCGACAATTGTATGTACAGGTATATAACAATAGACAGTTGTATGTACAGGTATATTATGTGCAAATTGAAATGTAGACTGAGTGTGTGTGTTAGATAAATAAGTGTATGAGTGAATAAATAGTGTGTGTTCCACAGTTATTGTCAAGTGTTCATGAGATGGATGGCCTGAACGTTCAATTCTGAGCAATTCTGGGTATTGAATCTGTCAATAGATTTTTCTTTTATACGTAAGGTCTGTGTGTCCCCTGAGTTTTTATTTTCCACTGTTTGTTAAATTTGAATAGTATTGCAAATCAGTGTCACTCACATTGAGATCCTCGTGTTCCAGGTCTTGCTGCTTTGAGTCCTTCTGATGGCAGGGGAGGTGTTTATGAAGACCTGAAGTGGAAGGCTCTGCTATGTTGTGAGCTGCCCTTTGCTCAGACACTTGACGATGGTCTTTCAGAACACCCACCTGTAGGACAGTTTCAGCTACTAAATGCTACAAAACCAGAATTCTCAAGTAAATCACCCACCCTTTCTGGTAAATTCAATCTGTGTGATATTACAATCATTGCTTTCGCAATGAAGAAAGATCATGTAAAGCACAGTTTTTCATGTTTGTAAAATGTTGAAGTAGTAATATTTGTCAAAAACATTGTTAGTCACAGTGTTGTTTATTTTCTAATTAAGCTGATAAACTAAGCATATTAGAATGATTTCTGAAGGACCACGTGACACTGAAGACTGGAGTAATGGCTTTTTATTCAAAAGGAAAACAATTATTTTAAATTGTAATAATAGTTCACATTATTACTGTTCTTTATGATCAAATAAATGCAGCATTGATGAGCATTAGAGACGTCTTTCAAAAACATTAAAAATCACATAACTCCAAACCTTTGTACAGTAGTGTCCAAAATAAATGAAAGGCAATTTATGACTTAGTCTTGCCATTTTAAGGTCTCAAAAAAGCAGTTATGTTTGTATTTGCATTAGATGACCTTGTCTATTAGGTGAAGAGGTCTTAGCTACAGCTGTGAACCAGAGAAATTGAGAGGATTGACCTCTCCAGACAAGTAGATGGGTGCCATTACACATGCTAATCAATTCTCATTACTTTCTCTTCTCTGCGGTAGGCCTCAGGACAATAATTAAAGTCTACAAATAAATTTATAGCATTTAAATGCAAAATAAATTAAGGTTTGCAATCCTATTAAAGTGTGAAGTGGCTCTGCAAAAACAGAAAAGGAATCACTACAAATACTCAGAGGTGGATGCTTATTTTTTTCCGTAACATTATAAAGCATTCATAAAACTTCAAGAAAAAACTTTCCCCATCTACTTTTATCGGACTCCTGCAATGGTGCGAGTCTAAACTTAAAAACAATCCTGACAGAATTTCAACTAGACTATGAATAATTGATATTTTATGTTAAGTCAAAGCATCGTGTTCGTATCTTTCATGTTATTTGCACACCATGTAATGAGGCTGTGTTCTGATAGGAATAATTTGCAGATGTTATTTCTAGAGGCTTCTAAATGCGATAGGCTGTGATGAAAGAAGCTAACAAGGGAATGCAATCTCATTTCAGGAAACTGTTTGGACATCCTGTGCTGGCTTGAAGGTGAACGGACAAATTTGATTTGTAATGCAAAGAGCCACAGAGCAGCAGCCGCTGCAAGTCTGCTCACCGTTACACCTCAATTAGTGTGAGTCCTGTTCATTCTTCTCTCTACAGACTGATTGGCTCTTGTGCCTATTTGTGCTTAAATCGGATTCAGAACAAATTAAGTGTGTATGTGGGGGTGGGGGGATTAAGTAGATGATATAATGCATCTAGACTCTATACTATATTATTAATGGTCAACTTTTAAATGATCTTTATTATTTAATTAATATTATTTACGTTTTTCTGCTGTATATAACGATTCTAACTTTGTGATTATTTCCCCTGTGATAATTATTAGCCTGTGTCAATCTTAGGACATCAAATGATAAATATTTTTGTTTGCATTAGTTCCGTAGAGGCTTAATCTATTATTCTGGATATTACGTTTTTAAAATTATTTTATATTAACTTTTTTTTTAATTTTAGTGTACAGATGAATGTACTTTCAGATGAAGCAAACCACGCTGCTCAGTGTGCCGGGGAAGATACTGCCATGTGCTCCATTTCTCTTCATGGCAATGATGCAACTGTCTCATTGAACATCAGTATATCTTTAAATGGGAGTACTGCACTGTCACCCAAGATGCAAGTCAGCACACATCATCTGCGTAAGAACTGCATTATGATTTGCTATCTATCTATCTATCTATCTATCTATCTATCTATCTATCTATCTATCTGTCTGTCTGTCTGTCTGTCTGTCGTTCTGTCTATTGT